GGAAAGGAGCCAATTCTTGCTACACCGGCGGTTGCAATCTCTGAGTTCTCAATTTCACATTCCCGATCACCAGTCCCTATCTTGTAGCACACGCACGTCACGGGACGCACCAGAGTGACTGTGTCCGGCCAGCCGGCAGTTGATGGGATGAACTGGGCTGTGAACTGGGCAGTATATCCTTGTTGAGTTGGATTAGGTGGCAGACCAACGGTGCGGTCTTCACAGCGATCAATGGCGGGACACTCGGGTGAACTTCGCGGCTGACATGCTGAATGGAAGCTCTGATTAAAAGTACCCGTTGCTGTGCGACGTGATCGCAATGAGAGTGCTCCGTTTTGCAGTCCTTTCGTATCTTTCCTCATATCAAAGGACCAGACGGCCCTCAGGTGGAGGATCCTGTGTATGATGAACAGAGCGGCAAGCTCCCTATGACTCTCCGCTGCCTGTCCTCCACAGAGTTGACTCGGTAATTACAGAGCTAGACGCTGGTGGAGGATGTTTGTCTGGATAATGAATACAAATGTGCGGTGGCCACCACACCACATCGTTGTTTGTTACCGTCCCAGACCCAGCTGTGCGTGAATATGGCGTCCAACCAACACAACTCGCGGTAATGATATGCATGTTATGCAATGCGCCAAACAGACCGCTAAGTGGTAACACGCGCTCCGGTGGGGGGACAATTTGCCCCCCCCTCCCCCGAAAATATTCCGGAATGATTTCCAAACGGCGTGGCATAGCCGCGCAAAACTTTGTGCAGTTGTAGACAGTAAGATAGCGGATCTTTTGCTTAACCAAAAATAGATGTACCTTGTAAAGTCACTGACCTATGGCATGTCAGTCAGGCCGTGGCTGTCAGTGGAGGCAATTTCTAGGGAATCGTTCAATCTGATGCGTTACTGAAGTATTAGGTAAATCAATACATCTTCGAGGTAGTTTCTTAGGCCATAAAACAATTTGATTTATAACTACAACAAATTCCACTTTCTCATGGCCAGGTATGAAGGTTAAACCGAAGTCAGAACCAACCTGCTTTTTCCCCGAAAGCTTGCTGTGTGGAGTAGCACCTGGTGCTCATTTCGAATTTATTAGTGGTAGGGACCGCAACAGACATGTTCCATAGACTTCTTAGAGGTCTGAGCAGGTCACTGACCCAAAGTGACCGAGATCAGTAAGTTGTGCTTAGGAGCATACCACCTCACGTAATCATTAACGCATGTTCAAATGCCAAGATGCAAGCAGTCTCGTGGGATTTTGGTCACCATGGCCTTCTTAAGTTAAAAAAGGTCCGTGACCTTGAATGAGGACCACGACATTTGTCTTAGAACAAGTATCTAGGTCAGAGGCGGTTGCATGAGGAGGCCTGGGACACCTTGGACACCAATCTAGAGTTTGGCCTTGCTGGACCTTGTTTTATCCGAAGGTCATGACCTAGGAGCCTCAAACTGTGATTTAAGGCGGTTTACACACGGGGTTATATGCCTCAGGGATATGATGTCTCTAGCTCTCTTAGTTTTTAAGAGTGCCGGTATTGTAGTGGTTAACGCGTCTGCGTTAACCATTGCTCGTCCGGGAAACCAGAGGTATGGGGTTCGATTCCTGGCGGTGCCCGTCCCTCCGACCAGGGTGAGAGGCAGGTGACGCCATATAGCCTCAGCAGCTGAGTGCGTCGTAAAGCAGTAACGACACACAATGACACACACTGCTCGTCCGGGAAGCCAGAGGTACGGGGTTCGATTCCTGGCGATGCCCGCCCTTCCTGCCAGGGTGAGAGGCAGGCGACGCCATACAGCCTCAGCAGTTGCGTCTGTCGTGAAGTCTCAATGGCTCACTCGCTCTCTTAGTATTCGAGATCTCAGGGACCAAACTGACCCCCCCCCCCCCGAGCGAAGGGCATTCCAAGGGCCTTCCCGGGCGCACGTCAACGGACGGAGGGTATTCAACCGGCTTCCCCGAGCGTGTGTCATATGGACGCGCATAATGTGTATTGTCTCGGCCCTTTTGATTGCTAAAAAGTTCCATTTTTCGCTTTACTTGCAGATGAGAATCGCGATTATTTAACGCCCGGATCAGAATGCCGTACTTATGTGAACATACTTTCGAACAGCAAGCACGCTTGTTCACTGGCGACTCGGCTCTTTCCAGATTACGTAAGTCATGCTTTTTTGACCTGACGGATTATTTCAGTCTTTCCGTACAGCCTGCGCTATGTATCTTCATTGGGCTCATTGTCTGTCTCTCTGAATGATACCCGGCAACCATCGTTATACGTCAGACGCAAAAACAGCGTCTATAGTGATTGGATCGTTGGTGGGGATGCCACGCACTGGACCAGAACCACCGTTGCCATGGGAACGGGTCATCAGCCAACACCGGCTAGTCTGAGCTACCTTGTTAAGCGGATTTATGTATATGATATCGCACCATCCCTGGCGTGTCTGGGGCGATGGTGAATGAACGAGATACCAAAATAAACACGAGTCCACTGCCTTTGTCCTGCGTTCGGCAGAGGAACCAGGCTACCCTCCGACTCGACACGGCCTTTGAACTTCCCCGAATTATATTTTGAACGTCATCACTCGGCGTATCCTGGCCCGTAAAAACATCCAAGGGCTATGGGGCGCGTCAGCGATCCGACGCTTCATTCCAACTTCAATTTGCATCCTGTCAAGACGTCCGGAGGATCCAGCTGCACCTTCCTCGACCCGATCTCGCGGGCCTCACTCTCGGGCGCACTGCGCGGCGTCGGCTAGGACGTTTTCCGCAAACTCTCCACCTCAAAACAGCCTCCTTCGAGACTGTCGGGCGGCGTCGGTGGCGAGGCGTTCGTCGAACTGTCCACTCCCACGCAGCCCGTCCGTTGAACCACCCGATCATTCTCTGGAACAGGGCGGGCGCGCGTCCCGGCGGCCCGAGCTGCCTCGTGTCTGCCGCCAGCGCACTTACGCTAACACGGGCACCGATTCACCCACCCCTTCCTCGCGCCCTCTTGTCACCCAGTGAGGACCTCTTTGCATTGTGGGAGTTCTCTGACTGACGTTCCGATCGCGGCCGTCACCGGCCATGACTCCGACATGGCTTCCGTGGGCAGGGCAGTGAAGTCCACAGCCGTTTTGAGCTTGATGTCGACGCCTCTGCATACCAGCCCTGACCCATCTTCGTCCCTTCAGAAGCTCGGTGGCGGCGCAGTGTCCAATCCAGTCCGGATGCGACTGTGTGTCTCTGACGATGACTGACCTCGCCGCCGGCCCGCAGGCAAGCAGACGGTGACCAACATCGCGCTGAGCTCTGACGATGACTGACCTCGCCGCCGGCCCGCAGGCAAGCCGATGGTGACCAACATCACGCTGAGCTCTGGCGATGACTGACCTCGCCGCCGGCCCGCAGGCAAGCCGATGGTGACCAACATCACGCTGAGCTCTGGCGATGACTGACCTCGCCGCCGGCCCGCAGGCAAGCCGATGGTGACCAACATCACGCTGAGCTCTGACGATGACTGACCTCACCGCCGGCCCGCAGGCAAGCCGATGGTGACCAACATCACGCTGAGCTCTGACGATGACTGACCTCGCCGCCGGCCCGCAGGCAAACCGATGGTGACCAACATCACGCTGAGCTCTGACGCCGTGCTGGGCCAGCCGGCGTCGCTGCGCGCCACATTCTGCGCCGACCCGCCGCCCACGCAGCTGCTCTGGGTGCTGGGCCAGTTCGCGGCGCGCCCCGGCCACCACTCGGCGCTGGCGCACGCGGCCAACACCACCGACGGCGCGCACAACAGCTGCTTCGAGGCGACGCTGTTCGTGCCCGCGCTGCGGCCCGAGATGACCGGCGAGGTAACCGTGCTGGTCGTCAACGCGCTCGGGGCCGACCAGCTGACGCGGCCGCTCGCCGTCAGCCGGCCCAGTCACGTGACATTCGGCGGTGCGCCAGTGCCGGCGGCCGCCCTCCGTTGGCCGGCGGCGGCCGCGCTGCCGCTGCTGCTGCTGCTGCTGCTGCTGGCGGCGTAGAGACGCCGCGGAGGGGCCAGGCGCCGGCGGCTTCTCGGTGTGTGTTGTTACTGCTCAAGTTGTTGACGGGCGGGCGGCGGTGCGTGGCGCGTGTCCGTCCGGAGAAGCTGCGAGCGCGAGATGAGGGCGGCCCGGCCCACGTGCGTGAGTGGCTTTGGCTGTGGCGCTTTGTAATTCGTCATTCGAATCGTCTCAATAAATGTGCCGATACTGGACTTGTGCAACGCACCACGGCATCGAGGGCTCACATGCATTCTGCAAGGCGTACACGAGCAAGTGGTGGGGCCGTGAACCTTTGGCCCGGACTTGGCAGTTGAATAATCGGACGGCACGCTCGCCGTAGCACATAGTGAACAGCTTTTGCTTCCTTGTACGGTATGATTAGCGACGGAAGATCAACAGAGTGCATTAGTACCATATCGTTGCCAATAATGGTGTTTTTGTCAGCCCTACGTCTGGAAGCATAGCTAAGCATTATCGTTTTTGTTAGTGTGGCACGATTACTTCACATACAAGCACTCAAACGAATCCATCTCCATATCGACATAGAGATCGGACTTCGTTCACTCATTCACCCAACCCATTTCGTTCACTCTCAGTACACGCTTGCTAGACCTAAATGGAAGCGATGCTGGCGCTGGCTACAATGCTGAGTAAACCTCAATTCCTGCGCGAAATGCAGGCCGATTTGGAAATTGGTGCGCACAGGAAATCAGGAATGAGCGCAGCCGGAATGACATCCAACACGGCATTTTGCGTGAAAAGAGACACGCATCCCATTTAAATTTCGGCGAGCAGACGCAGCTAGATCGAACGTGTGACATGTCGTTGGTGTACGCTTTAAGAATAAGGGAGCCTGTTGTACCGTTTCCCCTTTTACGGAGATACATCAGCAAGCGACCTCTGCCATGCGAATGGGAACGGCGCCCCGGGCGGTAGGGGTACCATTTTGCATGTAACTTAATGGATGTATAGCGATGGAAATACTGCCTCTTTTGGAATATTTTGCACAAATGACCACGTTGGAGCCCTACCGATGAAAATCTATCTGCCATTCAAAGTGCAAACTGCGTCATTCGAAAATTCTTCTTTTCTTTGAAAGCGTTTCGTCTTAAACCCCAAATTTCGCAGTGTTATTACAGCGCAAGAAGTGAAAGTCTGACTACCGTCAGACGTATGGATCAGGTGAACCAACGTTCTGTGTCTAACAAACTACTTTCGATAGTTCTATGTGTTGAAATCTATGTCGATGCATGGAAAGGTTATTCTTAAGTTTTAAAATTTAAGACCAGCATCAAGTCTCTGAATTATTTTCTTTTGATTTTTCTACGCACCATCCACCAGCCAATACCGGCCGGTCACCTGGTGCACAAATGACTGCCATTTTCAAACCAATCAACTTAACCGATAAATTTGACCGACCCTGGAGCCTGTACCGCCCCGACCAAGAGCACGTCCGCCACTGGCGCATGCCACAACAAACGAATCTCGAGCGAGCACCGTAACTCATTCCACATCCAGATCACCTTACACGTGCAGAGGTCTTCACGCACGCAGACTAATCCTGACAGCCGGCACCTCTTTCCGTACATTCCAGAACATACTTCATGACTTTCAGAACATTCCAGAACATCTGCCACCGGCCTTTCAACTACATCCGGGTGCACCAAAGGCGCCCGTTTGTAGCACAAACAAGCACGCTGTAGCCGACCCGCTGCCACTAATTTCCTTCCAAACAAACGGCAAAAGGCTGCGGACGCAAAAAGATGATGTATTACTCGCCTGCCCTATGCCCACGATACAAAAAGCTACGGCAATAATGCTTCCCTTAACGCCGGCAAAAAACGGAACGCTGAACTCCGCGGGGCGGACCCGGCAGCGACCAAGCGCAGCAACCTGGGTCCAGCCGCTGCCGTGACGTCACACGGCCGCGCTGACCAATCGCGAGGTCGATGGCCGTCCGGGGAGTCACGTGATGGACTGCGCGCCGCTCCTCGCTCCCGGTAGTCGCCAATCGCCGCGGGCGGGCGGCCGGTCAAAGGTCACCGTCCCGAGCGTCTGCGCTTGGTGGCGATGAGCGCGTAGCAGCGCGGCGAGGTCACGGGCTCGAAGAGCTGCACCAGCTCGGCCGATGCCACCGACCCCTGAAACAGAAGTCGTCTATCATGCATTCGCGCAAATCTGTCATCGTTTGTCGTCACTTATCGGGCTGCACGAGCCGCAGTAAACGGCCGGTCGCACGCGCCATCTGCACGAGTGGTACCTCCGGTGTTTGATCACCAGGATCACGCGACTAAGGTCGCCGACGTGTTCCTGCGCTGCCGTCAGCCCGGGCGTGCTCACTCAGCACAGCGTGTGTACACTGCGCTGCCGGAATCTGCGCCAGCAACAACGCCGGCAGGCCCTGTGACTACAATCGTGTAAATGCTCGCGTTTTGCGTGCACCGCGCCATGATCATGAGCGCAGTGTCGCATACGGAGGAGCCGTTCGTCCCGCCATAATCATGAGCGCATTGTCACCTTCGGAGGAGCCGTTCGCCCCCCATAATCATGAGCGCAGTGTAACATACGGAGGAGCCGTTCGCCCCGCCATAGTCATAAGGACAGTGTCACCTTCGGAGGAGCCGTTCGCCCCGCCCTTCGCAAGGCTCTTTGTCTAATGAAAAAGCGCGAACGAGGCAACGCGACACAAGGTCGTCGACAAAAGCAGCATTTAGCACCAGGCACAGCGAGGTCTGATAAAAACGTGCATCGTGCGGCGGCAGCCCCCCCCCCCCCCCCCTCCGTCAGTCATCGAACCAGCCTGTGCCCGCCGCTTCTCCCGGCGAACACAAAGCAAGACTTGGCAAACATGGCGGCGGCGGACCCAGGCAGGAGGGAGCTTCATTTCGTCCGCGGGGAAGACACATACAAAGGCGTTTTGTTGCTATTAGACCTCTTACCGTGCTCTGCGGCCGTTTGAGCCTCACATCAGAAACACCGGTAGGAGGGGCGACACCCACCGAAGGAGATACAACACTCCATCGCTGCCTCCAGGAGCCAGTTCCCGACGACCAAGACGTTGTACTCTATTAAGCTTGACCGAACTCCGTGACAGGCTGAAGTCCCGCCGCGCGATAAGACGGCCCGTTCACGACAGCCGGTTAGCCTTATCGGCGGAGCGCCGTTCCACCGGCGTCGCGCCAGGCACTGGGGCCCGGCCGCGACCGAGCGTCGCCGCAGTCGCGGCGCTCGGGGGCTGCGCCGGGGCTGGACGCCAGGGCCGGACCAGCGACGGCAGAGGGCGCCGCTGCTGCACACGGACGGCACACGACGCACAGACCCACAAATCACAGACGGACGGATCGCGGACAGATGGGCAGATGGCAGACCGCAAACACAGACCACAGACCACAGGCCGCAGACAGACAGGCGGACCGGACACCAGGGGGCGCCAGGGCCGCTCACCAGCCAATGGACCGCACGCGCCACACCAGTATCCCCGCATCGGCGTGTCCAAGGCGACGGCTACGGCCCTCAACATAATCTCCATTTCCGGAGGTCACCTACTGCCACAACAAGTTGGCATATCGTTCCGTCAGTGTTCCATAAACGCCGATGCGGAGACAAGGCCTTCTGACGTCCACTACCTCGACAACGTGCTCTGAAGTGCATGTCGACAATCTGGGATAGTCAGCAGCTATTTCGGGCTCGGAGAAGCCCAGTGTGCCGGCTGCCGTCGCACGCCGCATACCAGTCACAAGCGCGCCTCAGGCTCACTGACGACGCATGCGTTATAATCCCTTCTGGTGCGGCACATGCATCATTCAAGAAGCTCATAACCCCATCGCAGAAGCTCATAACCCCATCGCAGAAGTCCAAACAGACGAAGGACCACCAAGCTAAAATCCCGGACGGCCAGTGGGGTGTGTGGCAGAATTTCGCCGCCACTGGCGCCAAACCGGGCCGAGGCAATGCGTTCCACTTATACCACAAGAGACGCAGCCTCACCAGGCGTCATCCATCATGACGACGGCAGCGCGCGCAGCGTTGGTCTGCTCCCGGATCCTCTCATTTGGACGACAGCGTGCTAAATGTCCCACCCTCCCAGCTAGCAGCCCCAGACCGTGCGCCCGGCACCCGTCCACGCCCGGTTAAAGCTGTCCAATTTGCCCGGCTGGAGCGCGCTTGTTGTCCCTGATGACGCCTCCCACGTGCCGTGCTTCCGGTGTGAGCTCTGGTGTCTGTGGCCGTGGCCTGGAGACGTGTTCGGCAGGCCGGCGGGACGGGGCTAACCCATCGCGGCGGGTATTGGAGGAGCGCGCCGGTCGAAGCTCCATGTGTGCAGAGCTGAGGCCAACCGACAGAGACAAACGAGACCTATCTGCGGCCAAATACAGACGGGCGGCGGGCGACTTGTCGGCCAGACTCCAACTGGGACGGCGGTGCGGGCGGCGCGGCCCAAGCCCTCCGCCCCGGCCGCCCGCGCTGCCTCGACGCGTGAGGACGTGCACACAAATACGGGGCCGGACAGGGCGGACAGTAGCGGCACACACAAACGGTGCCGGCTCTGAACACAGGCCAAACAGGCGGGCAGAGCCAGAACAAATACGACGTCGGGCCCGACGCCGTGATCGGCAAACACGACGTCGAAATCGTCAGGCGGACGAACTGACAGACACAGGCCGGGATCATCTGGTTCGAGTCTCGCGAGAGGCAAAAATGTTTCACGGGCCCCGCTGAAACCCTCGTTGTCAGCTGCTGAAACGCGTATTGCCACAGCATGCACCGATAACTGACCCGCATCAGCTATTAAGACATTCATACATTTGGTCCGAGCGGGCCGCCGTCTTACCTGCTCGAGGAGGAAGGCCAGCCTGTCCAGCAGGATGACCGCCTCGACGACAGGTGCCAGCGAGGCGCGCAGCACGCTGAATGCCTCCAGGCGCGGCTGATGCTCCAGCAGGCGGTCGTGGTAGGCGAGCAGCTCGGCGTCGGGCACCGCCTGGCGCAGGCGCACAGCGAGGCGTTACAGGCGGTCAGGCGGGCGCGCCCGAGGCAGGCGGACGCGGAGTCTAACTAACAGAATTTAACCGTGCAATCCAGACAGACGTACAGGTGGTGAGCATTGCTGCGTCAAAGACAGAAATGCGCTGGCGCATTTCCGCTGCGCCCCGCGAGGTCGGGGCGCAGCGGACCGGCGGAGCGTCATCGTCATCGACGCCAGAACTTTCTGGCGCTTGTTAGGCGCTCTGAAAGAAGATAGGGGTGGCGTGCCGCATATGTATTTGCAGAGAAAGAACTATGCTTAAGTCGTGGACGCCAACTGGCGCATATCCCACCGATTCGACACAGACGATGGTGAATTTTTGTTGCTGGATATTGGTGAAAAGGCGGAATGTCTTATGGAAAAAACGAAAATAACATAACAGTGTCCGACACAAGAGCTACGCGCAGTGCCAGAGCTCTCCACAGCTTCCACAAATGCAGCATCACACCTCGCGGTTTCAAACACGCCCCGCTTAAGGACAGAAACATCATGCCTGCCCTAATGCTCGATGGCCCCAACAGACGTGGCGCACGAGCCATCTATATATACAGCAGTATGACGGTCAGATAGGAAATGAGGGCACTGATGGGAAATAAGGGCAGATTTGTGTCGATTACCCGGGAGATTGCGACCCGATCTCCACAACAGATGCATGGCTCCACTGCAGGCCGATATTCTGCCGCCGGTCGCGGCACCCTGTGCCCACCCGACCACGTTACAGCAGACCGTGGGGGCGGACACGGAGCCAGCTCAAACAACGAGGGGAAGGGGCGCCCAGAGATTACGGAAGCCCAGCCACACCAGGACGGGGTGGGGGGAAGGGGGCGCTTTGAACGACGGCCGAGACGGAAGAGCTAAACCGCGGGGGAGCGCGACGCGCACGAGGGCCGCCGCTTCATGATGGGCGGCGGCGCGAGGGAGGGCGAGGGGCCCATGGCGTCGTCACGCCGGGAGTCACTCGGCGTGACGTCACAATCGATGCCACCGGCGGGCGGGGAGGGGGGGGGGGGGCACCAGCGTCGCACTGTCCGCCTGCAGCGCCAGACCGTCCTCCTCCCGGGCAGCGCTCTCAGCGGGAACAGCCGCCGCGGGGCACGGCCAGGGCCGGCCAGCCGCCGCCCCGGGCCCGTCCGCCGCCATAACGCCGTGCTGAATTTCAATCTGGCCGCCGGGCCTGGCCACGTCGTTTCTCTCGCCGCCAGACGACTCGTAAATGTGCAGCGCGCAGGCCCGCCGCGCGCCGGCCGCTGAGGGCAGCTCGAGCTCCTGAGGACAGTCCGGGCCCCTGAGGGCAGACTCGGGCCCTTAAGACAGCCCCGGGCCCCTAGGCAGCCCGGAGCCGGCAGCCGGCCGTCGCAGGTGCCGTGTTCCACCTCGAGGCTCGGGCGTGTCGACAGTGTCCGCCCGGCACGATCGCCACTGAATCCGCTGAGTCCGGTTCTCGGAACTTACGGACGGACTGCTAGCACGGGGAAAACGGACGCGGATAACGCGCCGGCTCCCGGGAGGGTTTGGCATGAATGTAAAGTTGAGAAAGTTTGCAAAACATTGCCTCCATAAAGCAGAACAGAAATTGCAAGCCTACTCGGACCCCTGCGGCGGCCTGCAGGACACAGCGCTACGAGTGTGCCAAAGTCCCGCAGACTCAACGGCACACAAAGAGACGCACACGGCAACATCAACTGAAGTCCGACGACGACTTCCCGCGTGGGCGCATCTGTATGCATGGAGTGCTTAATGTTCTGAGCTGCCACCAGGCTTTCAGCCGGGCGTTTACGACCCGAGCCCAACTAGGGTCCCACTTGCTAGCGACGCCAGTTAGTGGCCAACGTCATCAAGTGCTGACAAGGCCCTTTACGTCCGGAGATGCGGGTGGCGCATGCGTCGTTGGGTCTCAGTGTCCGGCTCGACTTCATTCAATTCTGGGCTTTGGACGTCTGTTCGGACGCGTGCAGCGGCGCTGCTAACTTTCTGTCGCAGGTCCAACTCTGGGGACGGCCAAATCCTGCCGACTGCAAACTTTGAGAAAAGTGTACACGGCATTGGAGCTCTCTACCCACCGTGACAAGGCAAAACCATTTTTAGAGACCATTCCGGTGTCAGTCAGGCGTGAAATAATCAACAATGCGGCACCTGCCGCATGACATCTTGAATCTTCCGAAATATTCATGTCATTACCGGGCCCGGATACCAAAAAATCAAACAAAACCGAGAGCTCATGAGACGCCGAAGCATGCAAGTTTTGTCCTTACACTGACGTGCTCGCGTGATCCACGAAAATAAACTATCACAATGTGTCATTTTGGTCCAACGACATACTTCCAGCGCACCAAGGGCGCAGCCATGGTTTTCTTAAGGTGGGGTGGTGTTTGCGGAGGGGGGTGGGAGGAAGAGGAGCCGCAGTTCGGTGAGATCAAACCACGCTAATTTTCCACATTCCGTCAGGAGCTATCAGCGATTAAAAATAAAATGAAAATGGGTCTACGACCCCCTTTGCTGCACCGGCGAAGCGCATGATGTTTGCACGCAGGAGCCTCACATTAAACACGGCCGCCTTTGTGCCGGAGATGCGCTGACATATTCGCTGGCCGGCGACCTGGACACCTTCCACCGCTACCTGGTCGGAGCCGCCCACCAGCAGGGGCGGCCGAGTTGACATTCCGCGCCGACACCGACGGGCGGCGGCGGTAGCGCGCGAGCCCGCGTGAAGCTTGCAAAATGCCGGCGACAGTTGACACACAGGCCCTGGCAGTGCCCAGCGCCGCAGAGCGAGCGTGCGCCGCGCCGATTGATGAGCGCCAAGTTCGCCGCCGGACGAGCCGGCGCCGAATGATGAGCCGAGCCGACAAACTTTCCGCCAGCAAAGACGCAGCGCTCCGGGATTCAATTTCGCGTCGCCGGGGCACAATCCGCCACGGCACAATCCGCCGCGACGATAAGAATAGTAGTTTCGGGGAGTTGGGATACGACACTGTCACTCGGTGGGCGATTCCCCTGCCGCGTTCAGGTGCACATGTCGACAGCTGCTCTAGCAGCCGGCAGAGGCAGAGGTAAACCCAGCCACCAAGCCTTCATTCAACCGGACAAGTTCCCTGGCAACTGATCCCTTCGTTATCTTGACATTACCCCGAACCACACATCGATTTCCTGCGTAGCTGCTCTGATTCGCGACCGTGATCGGAGTCGACGTCCGATGGCGCGCGTCTCTCATGTGCATGCCACGGACCAACGGGCCCGGCCCCCAGTAACTAAACCATTCCCAGGCTGCGCGTGCCAGCGGCGGCATGCTCTCCAGTGGGCGTTACCAGCCCGCAAACCGGCCGCGCCACAGCACGCTCCAACAGCGTCGGCGATGAAGTAGGCCCTGATCATGGCCGGACACGGGGGAGGACTGAACACACAGAGCCAAATCTGAGAACGGCAAGGTCTGGCCGTTCAAACCACTCAATCGATCAAACATCGGGCGTCGATCAGCGGCTGGACGGGGTCGATGTGACCGCGCGGCGGGAACAATCCGGCCGCGGCGCCAGCGCGCCAGAGGTCACAAATCGTGAGATGGAGCAATCTGCTCCGGGCCCGACCGGTCCGCGAGACGTGATGGCACGGAGACGTCGTTGGAAACCGGGCGATGACAATGGTTTCAGGACATGGCAGAACGGATCTGACACCGGGAGCATTTCGTTTTCCGCATATGGGTCCAGGATGTGGACCCGGGATATGCCAGCTCCTCGACTAAACGGACACTTCGGAGTGCGAACGCACGGCCACATACGTTGCGAGCGCCCACACCGGGGCTCCATCCGTTCAGGGGCGGTTGCAATTCTCGACGCTGGAAGACATCACCATTAGCTCTGAGGGCCAGTCATAGCTCACCCCAACACGGGCCGTCTATCAGTGCTGAACCGGCATCAGACGAGCCAGGCCCAGGCGGCTGACACACGTCACAGGCCCGCCGGGGACACGTACAGCACACGCCCGACACACGGAGGGGATGGGGAGGACGCAGCTGGCAGCGCGATACCCTCTGACTCGAAAGGCTGAGTTCGAATCACGCTTCACATGTCATTCACATTTCGCGCTCACACCACCCACATCCCTATGCCAGGCACCGGCACCATTGCGTCAGGCCGAGCGAGATGTGCCAACGTTGGTGTTCATAGTCGCTCTCTGGACCAGCCGGCGCCGACGCCGACCAGCGCACGACCGCGCGCCGGGCCGCGTCTCCGGCGCGCCGCGGCACGGCCCGTGAATCAGTCCCGCCGTCTAGCGATGGGCCAGCCGGCGGCCGCGGCCGCATGCGAAGCGTCCAGCGCCGTCGCCGGACACGAGCGGCTGCGGCGGGACGGCCAGTCGTCGTGGGAGGTGCTGGGCGGCGAGGCTGGCGGAACGCTGAGTCGGGGGTGCTGGTAGCGGCGACATGGGAGACGCTTCATGGCGGCGATGGACAAACTTGGCCAAAGATGGCCACGGCTGGACGAGGTTGGATGTGGCAGAAGTGTAGTTCTGAAAGTGAAGTTCCTGACGCCGAGGCGCAGTTACGATAATAGCCGTCCGCAGAGTGTACAGTAGCTATCTCCGGTCAAAGCCGCCCAGTACAGCTCGCTTACAGATCGCAAACGCGTCCTTGTACACTCATCAGCCTCGGTTGTTAAATACAGCGCCTCCATTGAGACTACTGCGGTTGGCAAGTGACCCGTTCTTATCTTGATGCAGCTGTTCGCATGAGATCTCCGCCCACACTATACAAAGACTGCGAAGGTTCGCCCGGGTCTGCCCAGGGCCGACCACGCCTGGGTCTGGATACAGTCACACACATCCGCGTCAGCAGACGGAGGCCTGTCCGCGCACATGCAGCAGCAGAGTCTGGCAGACACTGAGACGCGCCGGCAACCGCGCCCGCAGGAGCCGCCGCTCCAGACGGCGGATAACCCCGGCGTACAGCTCCGCCTCCCCCGCCCTCCCCCCCCGCGTGTACCGCGCCCGCAGAAGCCGCCTCTCCAGACGGCGGATGACGCCGGCGTACAGCTCCGCCTCCCCCGCCCTCCCCCCCCCCGCGTGTACCGCGCCCGCAGAAGCCGCCTCTCCAGACGGCGGATGACGCCGGCGTACAGCTCCGCCTCCCCCGCCCTCCCCCCCCCCCCGCGTGTACCGCGCCCGCAGAAGCCGCCTCTCCAGACGGCGGATGACGCCGGCGTACAGCTCCGCCCCCCCCCCCCCCCCAGCGTGCCGCGCCCGCCCGTCACCTCGGGACCAACTCCCAAGTCCAGCCCGTCTGCGATCCACCAGCGTCCGCCGCCCTCTGCGCCGCCGGCCGCCGGTCGCCGGCTAATGGCGGCCGGTCGGCCACCGCTCGACCAACTTGTGCGGCGCCGTCCTCAGTCGGCCGGCGGCGCCGTTAGCGCGTCGCCGCCGGCAGTCGCCTGAGAACGAGCCCAGCCGGGCACGTCCGCCAGCCGGCCGATCTGCATGCGGCGTCAGGGCGGGCCGCCGCCGGGACGGACGGGCCGTTAGCAGGCGCGCCGGCGGCTCCGGCGCGGCCGTCAATGCCGCGTCGCAGAGAGGTGACCTCCGCGGACGGGTGTTGCCGCCGTCAGCGGCCAGCGGGCCGGCTTGCGGAGGGCGGGTCGCGGCTTCAGCTGCGGTTGGTCGCCGCGGTCCGAGCGCTGGTCCCGCTGTCCGCAGCAGACGGACTTCGCTCCCACGACGTGCGGCGTCGGTGTTTGGCTTCGCAAATCATTGCACTGTCAGCCAGCCCGTGAACTGCCACACCAGCCACGCTACAACCTACCTCGGTGGTGCGTTTGCTACGTCACCACGTAGACTGTCAAAGAGTTGGGGATTCCACACAAAACAAAAACCCTCCCCTGCCGTTGCCTCGTCTTGCCAGCCCAGCTCGGAACGCCGCCGACCTAACGCCTCAGCCGTTACATCCGTCGTGAAGCAACGCAGCATCGCCATCGTTAGCGTGGCGGCTTACCAGGCTAACGACGTGCTAGCACCAGCGAAATAGCCATTGACTACATTATCTTCACTTCCGCGGCACGCGCTGCTCACCCTGTGATCCAGCGGGTACTTGCTGAGCGCCATGTGCATGTAGTCGAGATAGCCCTTGGCCTTGCGCGCCAGCCGGCCCACCATGACGTCAGTGGGCACGGCGCCCAGCTTGTCGCGGAGGTACACCTGCAGTACGGCGCGGTAGTACAGCGCCGGTGACGGGCTCTGGAAGCGGACAGCACGTCAACGCACACGCCCGCAAACCAGGCCCAAGTCAAGGACATTCAGCTGCTGACATATGTCGCACACGTCGTTTTGCTTCGGCGCATGAGCGGGCACAGCTTCGGAGCGACGCGGCCGTTAGTGCCAGCGGCGGAGCCTGGAAAAACAGCGGCGCGCCGGACGTGTGGGTCCGCTCACACCGCAGTGTCGCCACTGTCGGCAAAACACCAGGTCGTCCGACAACGGGAAATGAAGACGACCTGGCCGCGGGTGAAACATTTAGGCACATTTAACACCGTGAGCGCTGGCCGTCGCGACGCATGCACATAAACGTCGCGAACGCCGGCACGCGCGGCATGCCCCTCAAATAAGCCCGTCGGGCTAACGTGACGACATGCAAGCACCACCACCTTCTCCGAAGCTGGGCCCGGGGCTGAGCCGTGCTGGCAGCACTCGGCGGGCGGCGATCGCCCGAGGCATGACCAGTCACGGCTCGAAGCTATTCAAGAGCGCGCCGAATGGTCGCGGCACGGCTCACAGCGTCCTCGGCCGGACCGGGTCAAGTGCTGCGGCTCAGGGGCGTGTTTCCGGCACCGGCGGCACCGCGGCACCGGCCGCGCCGCGGCCGCCAGTGCCTTCAGCAAAGGCGCCGACTATTCGTCGAGATCAAACAATTCTCGCCAATCCGTTCGGACGTGCCGGGATTTTCTCCGAATTGAATGAAGACTGGATTTTTGAATCTGGAGCAAAGCCTGTGCCCAACGCGCAAAGCTCCGAGGAAAGTTGGGAATTGGCGTGAGTTTGGTAGCAGATGTTCATTTACATTCCAACTGGTGGAGTCAAGGAGGTTAGTTGGGAAAAACTCGAATGCGTTTGACAGGCTGATTCTTGGAGAAGCCTTATTATCAAGTCATGCATACTTGCAAAAAAAAAAATTCGTCGTTCCACAACCTTTTTAAATACTGCTATTAAAAGATCTCGACCTGAGCCTTTGAAGTTTTTGAAAGCAGGCTTTGAACCATGCATTCACCAAGATGTGGATTTAAGAAGCCTTCTTGTACCAACAATTGCCAGTTACCAATTACCAATGTACCAATTGCCTTCTTGTACCTTCTTATCTTCTTGTATCATGTACCAACTTGGCATAAATATTTTCTCACACACTCAGGTACTCTTCTTTATACATATCCCATAAAGTGTAGATAAATGTCTTGTTACAGAGCCCTTCACCCTGAATCACCTTAAGTTTGATATAACCGAGCACAGTGTGACTGCAGTGGACACGCTGGGGCATGCTAACAAGACCCGTCACGACTGCCCACAACTACACCGCGTAAGTTGCGCGTTCTTCCCCACGACAAAATGCCGGACAATCTGACCTACCCGTGCCACACAAACCCGCCCGGGCAGCAGACACGCCAGGTCGCGTCGGGCTCCGCCGCGAGGCGCGCCTGGCGGCGCCGCGCCCGACACCCACCCGCTGGTAGGAGGCCATCCTCTCGGAGGCCTGGGCGGCCAGTCCGCGCGCCTGCTGGCCCAGCACGTAACGCCGCCGCGTCAGCAGACTGCAGAGTGGGAACGTCTCGTCCGCGGGGTCGAGCTCGCGCCAAAAGTCGCCCTCGAACCGCTCCCGCTGCAGGTGGTAGCAGCAGCCGACGTTCACCAGCAGCCTGGCGAGGAAGGGGGGGGGGGGGGTCAGTGCGACGGGCCTGGCCACGTGATGGTCCACACTTCGACAACGGTTGCCGGCGCGCCGGGCGAACACTCTGACAGAGCGACTCACGGTCAAAGCCGCAGCACCGTCGGATGTCTCCTATAATGGCTTCTTCTTCCGGCGGTAACCGTGACGCGTTTAAGTGGCACGGACGAGGCGCTGCGATCTCTCGCGCCGGCGGCGGCGGGGAACCCCACAACCAAGGAACTGAAGCCCTGTACGGCAATCGCCGTCTCCAGGACCTAGATATAATCCAAATTCACTGGTTAACGTGTCAGACCGAATTATGCTGGATAAAAGCACCCTGTTACTGCCTCTTCGTAGCATTCATAGGATTTACGTCCAAGGGATGACGCGGGTTCCCCCAAGATCATTCCATTTCCGTCCACGACCTTCAACTTGGATGATCTTACACTTATCACGTCCAAACACGACGATAACATCGATGACTATAAACCCTCACTTTTTACTTGCATCATTATAAAGACCTGCCAAGGTGTTACGTTGGTTTTGGATGGCCTTAAATCACCACGGAGATGTCCAGCCATTTTCGTCTACGCCACAGTGGCTTTATGGCCCAATTTAGCGCCGACTCCGAGATCTAATCTGATGTGAATACGAACTTGACTGACATTTTGAAAGGTCATGGACAATGATTAAAGTTCGTTGTGACCTCCAGACAAGAGAATCTGGTGCACACAGGCTCCAGAATGCGACGGAGAGCGAGGCTATCCAACATTTTCGGCGTAGAAACCTTTCAGAACTAATTCAGAGGTCAGTGACCTGACATAACCAAAAGATGAACATTGGAAGCCTGCAAAATGGAGTGAAAGACCTCGTAGCCCATGTTTCATTATATTCTAATGCAGCCGTTCGGAAGAGACATTGAAGGACGAGAAGGGGCTGTATTCCACCTGCCCTGGCGGGAGGGTGCCGCCATAGCCCGCTTGGTCCACTGGTCCACGAACAAACGGACAAATAAGCGCACCGGATGAGCCAGGAATGCGCTGCTGGTCGGTCTCCGTTTCCTGGCTATAAATCCTAACACGGACGTCTTTTTGCATCCCATCTGGGACCGCACCTGCAATGTATTACGGACGCCGGTGCAGCGTCGCGTCAGGTGATTTAGTGCTGACAAAAGCAGCGGTTTAACAACAAACAGCCGTTTTGTTTGTTCTCCCCGGCACAAAGCACCCTCCGGCGGCACAGATAGCTGCTACCCGGCGCCGGCCGATCGATGGGATCCCTCCCGGGGGTCGGCGATGGACCAGAACGGGGCTGTCGCTCGCAGCCGCACACGGCGCGCAGAGACGGCACGGGACCGGGCGGCGCCGAGCGCACCGCCTCCACGGCCGACCGCCCCAGGCTCGCGCACCGGGCGAGAGCACCAGCCGCACCCGGCGCACGGAGACGGCACGGACCGGGCGGCGCCGAGCGCACCGCCTCCACGGCCGACCGCCCCAGGCTCGCGCACCGGGCGAGAGCACCAGCCGCACCCGGCGCGCAGACGGCACGGACCGGGCGGCGCCGAGCGCACCGCCTCCACGGCCGACCGCCCCAGGCTCGCGCACCGGGCGAGAGCACCAGCCGCACCCAGCGCGCGGAGACGGCACGGACCGGGCGGCGCCGAGCGCACCGCCTCCACGGCCGACCGCCCCAGGCTCGCGCACCGGGCGAGAGCACCAGCCGCACCCAGCGCGCGGAGACGGCACGGACCGGGCGGCGCCGAGCGCACCGCCTCCACGGCCGACCGCCCCAGGCTCGCGCACCGGGCGAGAGCACCAGCCGCACCCGGCGCGCAGACGGCACGGACCGGGCGGCGCCGAGCGCACCGCCTCCACGGCCGACCACCCCAGGCTCGCGCACCGGGCGAGAGCACCAGCCGCACCCGGCGCGCAGACGGCACGGACCGGGCGGCGCCGAGCGCACCGCCTCCAAGGCCGACCGCCCCAGACTCGCGCACCGGGCACGTACGAACGCAGGCAAACACGTGGCGGTCACAAACGAAGCCACGATGCCGCCAAATTTATGATGTTGTGGAATATATGACATGTCTCTGGGCGTTATGCAGAGCTATCATCAGTACGTTTACGGCATGTCTGAGCCAAAATTGAGGAGGTGGTGCCTGAGTAACTGCTCTGAGCTGCCTGCAAAAGGTAGAAAACCAGCTCAGGGATGTGAAAATAACATTTGATATATGTCACTTTCCATTTCCAGCCTGCTTCGTCATTCTTTTTCCGTGGCCGTGGGACAGCCGCCAAAAGGCGGACTGGAATCGAAACGGAGCTGGGCCGGAGCCAGACCGGAGACGGCAGCACCCTCGGGAACAAGGCAGCTCGTTAGAACTTTTCCGCGTGGTCAGTTCCAACTCCCGGCCAAACTGCGACACGCCGGCCCGGCGCAGCCTCCCCGTCATGCCGGCTTGCGTGGCCGACGGTGGCGCCACCGCGGGCGGCGGCCGGCCGGCGAAGCAGACAGCCCGCTGCGGCCAAATCATGGGGGGCGAGTCGGAGGCATAAATCGGGCGGCGGCCAACAACCGGGGGCATCATTTAGCCGTGAAGTATTTATGGTCGAATAAATATAACACAGAGCGGCTGGCGGGCGTCGCTCGGCCGCCACACACGGGGATTACTGCGGCTCCCGACCACATCGGCCTATTGCACAGAGACGTCATGGGACTATTCCAGGGAATATGACATGTAGGACTGAGCTGCGGGGTATCAGGGGAGTGATCGTAGGGATATGAGATATGGGACAGCGACTGGCCACTCCGGCTCGCTCGCAGCAGATCGCAGTTACAATGTCATGGAGATGGCTCAGTTTGTGGCACGTGATTGGAACACATGGATACCAAGTGCTGACGCAGGGACCGTTCCACGGATATCGTGGGTCCAACTGGAAAATGTGGAGGTTTGCCCCATGGAAGATATTGCCGTATGCGCTGGAGAACATGCGATATCAGCAGGCGGCCATTTCATCAAGGGATACGGACGAAAGCCCCCTCGTCACAGAGCTCTAAAACCGCAACACTTTAGCCAAAAGTCCCCTAGGAGTATTTCTGCTACTATTCTGACACTGGACGTGAATGATGCGCAGCCTTCAGCCCAGAACACTAGCCGTCGTCAGACTGACTACTAGTTCAGAACTAGCCTTAACGTTAGGCGAAGCGTGACAGCAAATGATGGAAGACGTCAACAACGTAACAAAAACCTCGTCCGCACGTAAGGAGGGGATCAAGCGGGAACCCCACACTTTGGCGCACACGATGATGCTGGAGTTCGAGAACGTTCTCAGATTGCCGTGATGATCAACGGGCCGTGGTGATCGACGGATCAAGCGGAGACCCGTTTGATCCGCCGATGGCTTGCTACGCGCGCCTTTGGGGGCTCCACACGGGCGACAAGGGCGGCACCACGCGACGCCTGCTCAACCTCAAACCGCGAGCACGTCCGGGGCCGGGCAGCAGTGACGATCGGCCAGACGACGATCTCCCGCCCAGAAAACAGCACGTACCGCGCCAGCCGACGGTCAGCCGACGGGGCGGGACGTGACCCATTGCCGCCCGCCGACACCCGCCGCAGAGCCCGCCTCCCTTCAGGACGTGGCCGACGCCAGGGCCGCGGCCGGCCAGGGTCCAGTCCGAAGCCGCCGGCGAGCCGGTGCTACCAGCGCCGGCGGCCTGGGCAGACCGACTCGACTGACGTCAGAGGCCGGGTGGCAGCGGTGGGCTGTTGGGGGGGGGGGGGGGGGGGGGGGCTCGCTGTCGAATGCCCTGGCAAATCGCGCTCTGACAGCGGGGGAGGGACCGGACACGGAGAGCACCAGAACTGAGGGAGAGGGAGAGGGGGCGAAGTGGAGTGAAGAGAGTCAGCCCACGCGAGGGCAAAAAGACAGACCAGACTCACACATGGGAACACAGGAGAAGAGACCGCATTAGCGGCCCTTGAACAATACAAAATGACTGGCCAGAAACCTGCACGTGTCCTGAACAACATCAACCGCGCCTCACAGCGCTGCTGGGACCCCGGATATATGAGAAACTGATGGACTCGTCCACCTAGAACTGGTGGACTCGTCCAGCTAAAACTGGTGGAATCGACCAGCTAACCTGATGGGTTCGTAACGCTAAAACTGCGAAAAACGAAAGAAATAGGCAAAAACTCAGCAAGAGAGTTGTGAGTGCTTCCCTGCCAGCAGCAGCAATGAACATGAACAGTTGGTGAGAACAGAGGACAGACGCAGGTAGGAATACCGTGATCGCAAGGCATCCGCAACACCGCGCTATGACGCGCTGCGACCGCCTCTGCAACACCGCGCTATGACCGCCTCCGCAACACCGCGCTATGACCGCCTCCGCAACACCGCACCCACGACCGCCTCCGCAACACCGCACCACGACCGCCTCCGCAACACCGCACCACGACCGCCTCCGCAACACCGCACCACGACCGCCTCCGCAACACCGCGCTACGACCGCCTCCGCAACACCGCGCTACGACCGCCTCCGCAACACCGCGCTACGACCGCCTCGCAACACCGCGCTACGACCGCCTCTGCAACACCGCGCTACGACCGCCTCTGCAACACCGCACCACGACCGCTTCCGCTCTGCAACACCGCGCTACGACCGCCTCTGCAACACCGCACCATGACCGCTTCCGCAACACCTCACCACGACCGCTTCCGCAACACCGCGCTTCGACCGCCTCCGCAACACCGCGCTACGACCGCCTCCGCAACACCGCACCACGACCGCTTCCGCAACACCTCACCACGACCGCTTCCGCAACACCTCACCACGACCGCCTCCGCAACACTGCGCCATGGCCGCCTCCGGGACACCGCACCACGACCGCCTCCGCAACACTGCGCCATGGCCGCCTCCGGGACACCGCACCACGACCGCCTCCGCAACACTGCGCCATGACCGCCTCCGAGGACACCGCACCACGACCGCCTCCGCAACACTGCGCCATGATCGTGCGGAGATGTCACACCAATCCGTCACGCAAGGCACAGCATCGCACCGGACATTGCAAAACAAGCAGGCCCGGCCACCAGGGCCCCGAGAAACAACTTATTCATGTCAAAACACCGGAAAATGCGACATCCGAGTGCATAAATGATGCACCCTGTCCAGGGAAAGGTGACGCATTCCTGCGTCCCCAGGGCTCCACGTGCGGGGCGGGCCTCGTGCCCAAGCTCCTCGCCTCCAGGCGTACATAAATCACGAGTAAACACACAATGCACGCGATTTCTGCCGCCAAACGGCGGCGGGCTGGCATGCGGACACGTACAACGCCGACGATAGCCGGGTGGACGCTGAGACCGGCATCGACCGAGCCGGCCGGAAGTAGACGGACCCCCAACGTGGTGTGACCCTGCCGACTCCGGCAGTGGGGTTGCTGCGCCGGTGACACCCGATGGCAAGAGCGGCACACGTGTGCACTAATGGCACGGCTGCCTGGTGAGGTTTTTAGAGGCCCTACGGCGCTACAGTAAGTGTCCGTCGGACGCGGCCCACTAACGTCAGGGTACCGCGTGACACTCAAAATGGGTACGCGGGCAGCGATGCAACTAAAACGGTGATGCGGGCAGCGACGCAATCACCTCCGACACGTGAGGGGGAGGGGGCGTGAGGGTTTAAGATCAGTTTCCTGCCACGTAACGATGGGAAACACTGTTTTCGCGGCCTTGGGAGCAGCCCTGCCGGTCGCGTACCGGCGGCCCCTGTGCCGCTGGAGGCGAGTTACAAACGGTGACTCCACCAGCTGCGAAGACAAAGGTTATTCACCCACCGGATTCGCTCCGGTTCACCGAACAGTTACCACTGGCGGTGGTGCACGTCTCTGACGTCGAAACCGTTTCATCAAGCCGTAGCCTTTCATCAGGCTTCACTTCTGAAGTCTTCTCCGATCGACCCCGCTCCTCGTCTCGCCCACGACAGGTGAGCTGAGCATGCGTGGCGAGTGGACGCCCTCCGCTCCCCCGAGGAGGCTAACTCCCTGCCTGGCGTCTCGCCCCGCCTGGCACAGTCGGCAGCCGCGGCCGGCCAGTGCCCGGTCTTGCGGCTGGCGGCTGTCGACCCCAGCCGACCTCTCACCTGGCCTGCGGCAGCTGGCTGAACATGCGCAGGGAGTGGACGGCCAGGTCGCCGCAGGTGTGGAGGCCGACCACGGCCAGCGGCAGGGCCGGATCGCCGTGGCAGGTCACCAGCTCGGCCAGCTCGGTGCCCGAGCTCACGAACTGGTCCACCGGGGTCAGTCGGCCCGGCTGCGGCCGGTGGCGGTCGCCGCCCGCGCTGCCGCCAGCACAGCTCGGGTCACACACCAGACGACGAACGCTGGTACCGCACAACGGGGACGGTGGCACGGCGGCAGCCCGCCATCTGCCGCCGCACGACGCCAGAGTGACAATGGTGGGGCTTAGGTTCTTGCGTTGTGCTGTCTGACAGGCGGCCCTCCTGGAAAATGTGGGTGAAGAAACTGGCCCTGGTGCGGTTGAAATGAGTCCGTGAACGGCGTTGGGTTCAACGATGCTGTAACTGCCGGGCGCGTTTTACGCCAATGGCTACCTTATCGTTATAGTTGGTTTTATCGTTAAATGATGGCCGCCGACAGTAAGCTACAGCCAAAGCCCTTGAGAAACGGGCTGGGCTTTGATGATGTAAATGCGTCCAACTGCTGCTGGAATGCGCGACGACATGGATACACCTAGCCTGAACGACAACTGATGTGACGTTACCTGTAGAGAATATGATGGTCATGACGTGTGCCACAAATGACACACACACACACGCACGCACGCACGCACGCGCACGCACACGCACACGCACACGCACACGCACACGACCACGACCACGGAACACGAACACGAACACGAACACGAACACGAACACGCACACGCACACGCACGCACGCACGCACGCACGCACGCGCACCCATACCATGTGGATGCATAATCACAATTCTCTGGGACCGGACAAACAAACCACAGGGGCAGGACAAGAGCTGGAAGCAGAGCCCAAGGAGTAAACCCGAGGGGAACACAGGGCGTGGCGGTGGGGTGAGGTGCAAACAGTGAGACACGGTCTTCCTGCAGCCAGCGGTTCATGGCAAGGTTCAGCTCCTTTTAAGCGGCACGGGTTATGGAGGCATTTGGAGAATTGGGAACACTTAGGGGGGGGGGGGGCTTTGGGAAACTAACGCCCCTACAGCTACAGTCACAAACTGAATTCACCTGGGAAACCGGAGAGAAACCTTCTAAGGAAACGGAAGCCCTTTTGAATAATCGTGGCATGACTCACGGACTGGCGAGGAGATGACGTGGTGAATTAAACCCCACAGGCACGCGTTACAGTGCTGGCGAGGAGATGACGTGGTGAATTAAACCCCACAGGCACGCGTTACAGTGCTGGCGAGGAGATGACGTGGTGAATAAACCCCACAGGCACGCGTTACAGCATGCCAGATGCTGCATATGGACAACACCCAGCTTCCAATTAAGGCACCTTAAAAAGATCCAAGTCTATCCGCTCAGTTTCTGGGCAGAAAAATGGACCGAAGTCGTAAAATGCAGTCCGCTCGGCGCGCCGAGCCCTATGTTTGCAGTTGTCATTTGCACAGCACGCCGAATTGCACAGAGCTGCGCTTGCTGCTGAGGAGCGCGTCACGTCTGGTTCCAAGACCGTGTAAAACTAATGCTGCCGATACCCGTCATATCTCCAACTATGGTGTTGGAGATATGACGTTAGCTTAAACCACCAGCACTGAGGTCAATTGTGTTGAAAGATGCACTTATGACAACCATAAGCGCATTTGAACTACTTGCTTCATAGATACAAACATTTCTGGTCTGAAGCCACTCACTCGTATTGCGTCACCTACTACAAGTCCTAGGCATACAGCATAACTGAGTGATGAGCTTGAGAGCCTGACATTCTCTTTCTCCTTCGCGCGGGAGTTTCCGCACGACTTGTCTCCCCTGGAAGATTTAGGCGCAAAGTTAGCGCAGACAAGAACGAAAATGTCTTGTGTCAAGTGGGACTTGCACTTCCTTATTCTAGCTCCGCGCCGGCTGCCGAAGTAGCGGAGTTACGCCGCGCGTCCGACGTAATGGGTTCCGTCTGAGTTGAGGTTGGCGACCCGCCGCCCGCTTCACACGCTGCACCAGGCCCGTTGGGACGCGACGGCGGGTCGCTGCGCGAGCGCGGTGTGGGCGGGCCCGCTCCGTGCCACCCGCACACCGCCGCGGCCTGTCACGACCGGGACGGGCTGGGGCCGAGGCTGAGGAGGGGCACTGCGTCCGACCAGGGGGTGGGGAGGGGCACGGCGTCCGGTCAGGAGCTGAGGAGGGGCACCGGCATCCGATCAGGGGGCGGGGAGGGGCACGGCGTCCGGTCAGGAGCTGAGGCACGGCGTCTGGTCAGAGGCTGAGGAGGGGCACGGCGTCCGGGCAGAGGCTGAGGAGGGGCGCGGCGTCCGGTCAGGAGCTGAGGAGGGGCACGGCATCCGATCAGGGGGCGGGGAGGGGCACGGCGTCCGGTCAGAGGCTGAGGAGGGGCACGGCGTCCGGGCAGAGGCTGAGGAGGGGCACGGCGTCCGGGCAGAGGCTGAGGAGGGGCACGGCGCACAGCCAGGCGCGGGGAGAGGCGCGGCGTCCGGTTAGGGGCTGGGGAGGGGCGCAGCGTCCGATTACTCGGCTGGGAAGACCGTGTCGCCCGACGCGCCGCCCCCGGCTGTCTGCTCACCGCGGTCCACTGAGACCGGGCCTGAGGCGGCTCGGCGGGGAGCATCTGGCGGCTGGAGGCCAGCGGGGTACGGCAGCGACGGACCCCGGAGGTGACGGGGCGCCGCCGCTCATCCCACCGACTGGCATGCCAGGTACAGGGCCACAGGATGGAGCCGGCAAGCGGCAGTACGGGGTAGAACGGCCGCCTGCTCCGGACACGGGTCGGCTGGTGTGCTGCAGCTGACGCTGATAACGCTCAGTCGGTGATACAGCAGTAACGCGCGCACGCCTCCGCCGTCTGCAGTACCCTCCGCTGAGGATAACAGTGTACTCTTTCCTGATACTTGTGATTGCTCGCCTTCAAAACTGAAGCTCGTGGACCATACCACAAGCCTGCTGACTGTGTTCCGTCCCATGCTGATCCTCCAGTCAGTTATTTGTGCTACTGATAGTCGTTCCCCACCTCCCCCGTCCTCGTTCCTTTCCTCTTCACTTCCTCTCGCCCCATCCTCGCTTCTTTCTTCTTCACTTCCCCTCGTCTTTTCTCCAACGCCCATACCTTCATCTCGTCCGGTTTCCAACCCAATAAAACCGTCCAGGTTCTCGCCCGACAGGCGCCTTGTCCACCGAGGAATCAATAAGCAGCATCGTCCAACACTGGGCATTGTACGATGCCGCGAACGGTGAGCGAGTGGATATATCTGAAAGGCCGAACAGCCGTGGCACGCGCACTCTTCCCCCCCCCCCCCCCGGGCGTCCACACGGTCGTGAAAGCACTGCTGCCAGCGAAAACAACACGTCCCGGCTGCACATCAATAAAATTTCCCCGGGGCGGTAGCTTACATCGAAGTTCTGGTCATAACTGAAGCGGGAACGAGCCGGCCGACTGCCGCGGAATGACGGCGAAACAATCAAACACGCAGGAATCCATTAAGACAACTGCATATTGGAATCAAACCCGTCAAACGCCCCCCCCCCCACAAACCACTACGCTACAGTCATTTCGAAAAACCAGTGCACCAATTCCGATTGCCAACGCCCTTCAAGGCGGAGGCCTGCGTATTACGGAGGCCGGACACGAGTATGCATCCAGTACGCAAGCATTTACTCGACGGCCGCCCAGTGCCAAACGATTTATTCGCCGCACGCAGTTCCGGGCGCCGATCCCTGGGGAGGGATGGGGAGGGGAGGGGGATGGGAGGGGTGGGGATGGGAAGGGGATGGGAGGGGGTGGGGAGGGAAGGGGATGGGGAAGGGACGGGGAAGGGAGGGGGGGGGGGGGGCGTAAACCGGTGTCAGGAGGGCTGACGGCCAGTTCGGGATCGGTCTCCGCTCGTCCCGGCTCCGCCATCTGAGACAAATTTGATCAGTGCCGTCAAATAGGGAGTTCGAGTGCGATGAGGGCTCGGCTGGCAGGGGACACTTTGATGCGGGGACGATTGGATTTCTCGGGTGCTTTGGGTTATAACACATTTTGACGCCTTATAAAAGCCCACGAAGTTGGATGTTCACAGGACGCATGCGCGCATGTTATGGTCTTCTCATTATACGCGCTTTTTACGGTCGTTGGACGCGCGTAAATAACCCCAGGTTACAGACCAGACATCTGGCTGCGTCACGCTTTTCCAGCGGTGATTGCTGCTGCACACATACGCCTCTCCCATCTCCCGTCTGGTCATGCTAGTCATTTCTGTTTTTAGAGAAGCGCGGTCCAAGGAAATTCGATTCTAAGGTTGAATCACTGGCACGCCATAACCTATCCAATCTTTACCATGCCCCAAGACAATTAGCCGCGGTATGCCGACTGCAGCTTTTTTGTATACCTGAATAAGTAAGACGATTTAAGCAGATACTTCACCCTTAGGTGTGGCTTACCTTGCGCCTAACAAGCCGTTTTGGATCCCAACTTGGATCCCCACTGGACATCCCTGGATCCATACCCAGGTGTCACACTGTAACCTCACGACATGACCTACTTTTGACGCGTGAACGACTGGGGTGACAGCGCCCGTGTGAACAGACCGCAGGACGCATTTCTATAGAGACCAATTTCACAAGGACACGCCCAGGCGTCGGCTCTTCCATCCCTCGGGAGACCATCCCACACGCCCGGGCGTCGGCTCTTCCATCCCTCGGGAAACCATCACACACACCCGGGCGTCGGCTCTTCCATCCCTCGGGAGACCATCCCACACGCCCGGGCGTCGGCTCTTCCATCCCTCGGGAAACCATCACACACGCCCGGGCGTCGGCTCTTCCATCCCTCGGGAAACCATCACACACACCCGGGCGGCGGCTCTTCCATCCCTCGGGAAACCATCATACACGCCCGGGCGTCGGCTCTTCCATCCCTCGGGAAACCATCCCACACGCGCGGGCGTCGGCTCTTCCATCTCTTGGGAAACCATCCCACACGCGCGGGCGTCGGCTCTTCCATCCCTCGGGAGACCATCCCACACGCGCGGGCTTAGAGCACTGTCTCACCTCCTGTGCTGGCGCTTCCACTTCTTGCTCCGCTTAGCGGGCGTCTCCCCCACTCTGAGCGATGCCGTGCGGCTCACTATTGCGTCCCACGATTTCTGTCAGAACAGTCACACATACAGGCTTAGCATGGTCAGACAAGCGAACAAATCGACTGTGACAATGACACTAGACGGACAGCTTTTTGTAAATGTGTAACATTATGCCAGACTTACTTCAGCTGACGGAGTTTGGCTTAAAAATGTTTTCTCGTTCCATTTTTCCTATCTCGAGCAGACAGTCACTATTCTTATAGGCACCTTTTCAACCGCGTCAATTCGATACCAATTGAAGTATTGCCGCTTTTGCACGCTATACCCAGCTGTGTCGCTAGAGGCTAAAACACGGGCATAATGAAGGTACCGTTATCGAGCATTCGTATCCTATGGGGCCCTTGGTGATACAAACATCTTGTGAAATAAATACAGCATGATGAGATAGCTGCAACACGAAACGTACTTAATGAATAACGACTGTAGGCCTAGCTTTCTACAAGTTAACCTATTTTTGTGTTTTATGAACTGGTCTCATTCTACAAGAGCCTGTTTTCAGTGAAATGAGACATCACTCAGTTGACTAACAGTAGAGGCGAACAGGGATGCAAGTGCTAACTGACTGCATACCGCAGAGCTGCAGCAAAATTGTCCTGTGATGCTTGGCTGCAGATGGGATCACCCACCTTTAGATTGGCGTTGACCTTCTTTGCGCCGTGCGTGTGCACTTCGTTCGCCTCCACGGCCATCACGTCTAGGCCATGGGACAGCGCCAGCATCGAGCTGAGGTAACCCTTGCCGCTGCCCATGTCGACCACCTGGCTGATTTCACTCTCCGCCGCCAGGTGCGCCACTGTCGCCGCCATCCGGTCCACCTCGTGGAGCTTCTTATCGCTGAAGAACTGGTCGAGCAGCGGCAGGGCGGGCGCCGCGGGCGTTGGCGGCGCGGCCAGCAGCCCGCAGCTGGCCAGCCGGTGCCTGCCCAGCTGACCCAGCAGCTCGTCCAGCGGCCCGGCCGGCAGCTGGCCGGGCGCGGCGGCCGGCAGCTGGAGCAGCTGGTCACGCGGTAGACCCAGCAGCGCCGCCGCAAGTCGCGCGGGCACCAGGCGGCGCCACTGGTCCTCAGTGATGAAGTTAACCATGCAGCTGTTGGCGAGCGGCAGCAGCGGCTCCAGGAAGGCCACGGCCCCCTCCAGAGCCTCGTGCACGAGGCGCAGCGGCGCAGACATAGCCGGCAAAGGCGTATCAGTTCTGTGACCAGGCACTCCCCAAGTGATTCGCGCCGGGCCGGGCAGTGAACGCGGGGAGCCCGTTAAAAAAAACAAACTTATCACTTATCCTGTTAACCACTTAGCCTGCTTGGAACCCACCGCTGGTCTCCTCGAGACAGGATCCGAGCTTTCCTGCGCTCGGTGCCGGCAGACGCCCACTCAAAACGAGATCTCCTTCTGCTCGCCGGCCGTCGGGTTCACCTTGAGCACGGCGCACACCTGGCGGAACTTGGCGCGCACAGTGTCCAACAGGGCGCTGACGTCGCTGTCGCGGCTGTTGTGGCGCGGCAGCCGCTCGATCAGCCGCGTCAGACCCAGCAGCAGGGGGCGCGCGCGCCGCAGCTGCTGCGACGCCGCGTCAGAGGCGCCGTCGGCGGCCGCCAGCTGCGCCAGCGCCTGCTGCGCGAATCCGCCGTAGAAGCCGACCTCGGACGCCAGCTGCGCTGCCCGCTGGAAGCCAAGGCCCCGGCCCACGGCACGTGCCTCGGTGCAGCCTGCCTCGTGGCCCTCCTGAGATGGTTAGAGCGAGATGTTGGAATGATCTGCTACTCAAGCTGCACAATCTCTGCTCTTCAGCTCCTCAAGTGTGCATGGGCATAAACATGAGCATATGCATGAAAAAGTCAGGAAAACAGGTTTAAAATGCATGTGGAAAATGGCAACATGTATGAAAGGTACTGCTGTTTTATCACACCAAAAAAGAAAGCAAGAACTCCTTAATTTCAGTCAGCATATACACATCTAGTCACTTGCACATGCTTTCAAATGTGAACTAACCACATACTGACCTAAAACAGGTCTTCAGTGCGACATTATTGCAAGCAAATAGACTTAATGGAGATGTGACCTACCTTGTACCCTTGGTCTAGTTCAGTCTGTTCAGCAAAAACAATGCTATCAAATGCCTTGTCAATATCAACTGGTTCCATCTGAGGACACAAGGCCCAACAAGGCATTCATCAAACAGCAAGATATTTGTACCATTCACACAGTTAATCATCATTGCCTTGAAATCAATAGGTGCATTAACTTAAGAAGCTAATCAAATAGTAGATAGATAATAACAAAATACTCCTGCTCATCTTTACTGACAAGAAAAGGCTAGGAAACAAGGAAATTTATTATGGCTGGTGGCTTACCAGCCTGCAAGCTATGACATGATTCAACATAATATTTGCAGGGCAAGGGTTCTTAAACTGTATGGCTGAGTTACACAAATTATCTAATCTAAACTGTTTCCAATCCCAGTGGTTTCCAGGTGGTTTCCTTAGGTTTTAAATTAACACAGGAAATGTGGTATAGATGAAAAGCTGAACAGATCCAATTCTGGGGAAATGTAGCATTTAAACACAGCTGGGATGTGCTGAGAGCATTCAGTTTATAAAAAAATTGAAGTTGAAGCTCTATAAGCATTGGTGTAGCCAGGATACACTAATGCCAGGAATGAATTTCAAGGAATTGGGGCACTTTTAGTGAGAAGCAATTACATTTATCACTGTGGTAGCCCTCTTTTTGTTTTTGGAGGAGCTTAATAAACTTAAGGCCCATTCCAGTGTCTTAAGCCTGCTTTTTATACTTTAAAACCCAGATGGGCATCTTGAGCAGCCAGCATATAATGGGTCTTTTATCACAGGGCTTCTAACACCTCAGGCTGGGCTCCTAGGGCTTAAGGCCTCCAATGGCCACCACTACCTGCAGATAGGCCATGGCTCAAAATCTTACCCTACCTGGGCTGCCCCAGTGTTTGAGAACAGTGTTCCTGGTCAACAGGGGCTCATCCAGGGACAGAGTCATTGCTATTAGCATGGAAACCATGCCTGGGGACAGCGTATTGCTGGGCCCACTTCACACTTAGAGGCAAGCTATTATTAGGCTTCTTGGTTCCCACCTCATAGTCTATCTTCATAAAACTGTATTTGAACTATGATTCAGATACTAAATGGACAACAACACCCAGCAGGAGCTCAGGACAGATTTAACCTCTGACCTCAACCGGCCTTCCCTACCTCCAATCTGCAGGAACCTATTGTCAGTAGGCCTGCTACACATGGCTCCAATAATGTAGCAAGTGATGGCCCCCCATGCACCCATGCAGCCACACAACACACACCCTCCTGATTCTCATGGATCACAACAGTGCATTGGGGATCATTACAACAATAGCACTGTGGCGCCTTCTGCAGGCGGATGCTCAGGCGTTTTGGCATCAGCTCGTCCCTGGCCGGCCCAACCACACGGTCTGCCGGCTGAGGCGCGTCTAAAGCCGCGCCAGCACCATTCTCCACCTCTGGTTGACAATCCACACACAACACAGACTCACCCAATTTAGTCACTTGGCCTCAACTAAAAACAGCCCACTTAGGTAGACATGTAAAATGGGACAATGCATTTAACACATTGCGACCCTTCATACAGCTACCAACAACGCATGCAACAAAATGCGGGTCTTGATACCATGCCATTGCATTCATGCTTATAACACATATGGGGCCGCGACATGGACACACACTTCCTTAGGTTGAAGGATGGACATGAACCAAAGGCTACGTACGAATGCTTTACTCAGGCCCAGGAGACAGGTAGATTCCAGGCGCGGTAAGAACAACAATGCCCCATATAACGTCAATGACTTCAGCGGGTCCCCGCACAAGTCCGTAAAGGTTCATCGAGGGCAAAGCTAACAGTTGCAGCAAATACTGTAACGCTCAGGCCTGTCACAGTTGCGTCAGATATCCCACAAAATTGTAGCTCCATATTCAGCGATATGGTAGTCGGATGTTCCGAACGAAGTTTTACTACCGATATATTTTGTACATAGGGGCTATCGCGTATTGAAATCATAATTCGTTTTGTTTTTTGAGAAAAATTAAGGTAAGTAGCAGCCAACAGAGAGTAGCAGTACACTTTTCGGATGTTTTCGCATGTTGCAGTAGTATCTTAATGCGGCAATGCGGAAAGGACATAGTGACAATTTACATGATACGATGCTCTACAAACCAGAGCCGATTGCATTAAGACTTGTCATTGCATAAAGCATGGTTTTTTAGTCCAGCATGGAATGAACCTTGAAACTTGTCTCTCATATGCTTGTGTGAAATCGCACTTGCCTTCGGGAGGAAAGTCAATATCTGTGAATGTAAACGTCAACAAACCAAGTACCCGGTAAGTGCTGCCATCTATAACCACATCGCGCATGCTCAAAGCGTACGTCGTGCCAGCTCATGAGCGTCAGTGCCGTGGCGAGGCGCGGGTGGATCGGGTTCTGGGGCCGCGATGGACACCACCCCGAGTGAGCTCCCCCACATCGTGTGCCTGCTGCGCGACTCACTGCCGCTGGAGCAGGATGACGTCAGCGTCTGCTTCGATCCGGCTCGCTTCGCCCGCAAGACGAACCCGGCTCAGGAGCAGGCCATCGACAGCCAATGGCGGCGCCAGTGCCGGCAAAACCCGCGCCTCTTCAACGGCTCCAAGTTCCGGTACGCCGGCCTGCGCTGGACCGGCGCGCCGCAGCTGCAGCTGGGGCTTACCAGCTACCGGGAGCACATCGGCACCAACTGCCGCGCCGGTCAGCGGCTGCTGCAGGAGGCGGGCGCGGCCGTGCACGGCGACCGGCAGGCGTTCCTGGCCGACCCACTGGGCGTCGGGGCGCTGCTGCTGACCGCCGACAACCGGTTGGCATTCGTGCGGCGTGCGCTCTGGACGGGCGAGTACCCGGGCCGGCTGGACCGGCCCGGCGGCCACGCCGAGCCGGACGAGCTGCCTCGCGCCGAGCTCGCCGAGCCGGCCGCCGCGCTCGACGAGGTGTTCGAGTCGGTGCGGCGCGAGCTACGCGACGAGCTGGGCGTGCCGCTGACGCACCTCAGCCGCGCGTACTTGACGGGCGTGCTGCGCGACCGCGACATGGGCGGCCGACCCACGCTCGAGTTCGTCGTCAGGTCAGTGGCGCCGTGTGGCGGCGCGGATGCGCGCCGCTCCTCGTGTGGCTGGTTTGGCGTTAGGACCATTTGGTTGGAGGTTACATTCCGGAAACTGCTGCGGGAGGAACGCGATGGGTCGGTCCGGTCTAGCGAGAAACAAGTGGTGTCGTTTAAGGTAGGCTGGGTTGCTCGCTTTTTCTAAGGAACTCCACTTTCCATGGCCCGAGTCAGCCCTCAACCGCACTCCCCCACCCGGCCCGTGGGCAGTTCAATGCAAGTGGAGGTAATTCTAGATCATCGCCTTATGGAGGGCAAGCTTGGTGCGGATGAGATGCAACATTCTGCAGCACACTGCGCGGGTCGTAGGCTAGCGTGGGTGCGTATAGTCTGGCCTAAACTGGGCCAGCTCATGAGTCCCGGTCAGCGCCGCTCCCACGCCGGGCGCCAGTGTAACGCTCGCGTCGGGCAAGTCCACCACAGTGCTTCAAGACGTGCTCTAGCGGTCTGTCTCACCGGGCTCGAGCTGTAGGAGGATCTTCTAGGGGGTCTGTCTACTTCACCCAGCGCGGATCTTACAAAGGGGTGCGTAAGAGTACAGCGCTGGGACGTCGCGAGCTTGGAGAAATTCCACCTACCGCACCGAACGTGGGTCACAGAAGCGGGTTGGTGGAGATCCACCTACCGCGCCGAACGTGGATCACGGGAGCGGGTTGGTGGAGTTCCACCTACCGCACCGAAGGTAGGTCACGGGAGCGGGTTGGTGGAGTTCCACCTACCGCACCGAACGTGGGTCACAGGAGCGGGTTGGTGGAGATCCACCTACCGCGCCGAACGTGGATCACGGGAGCGGGTTGGTGGAGTTCCACCTACCGCACCGAAGGTAGGTCACGGGAGCGGGTTGGTGGAGTTCCACCTACCGCACCGAACGTGGGTCACAGGAGCGGGTTGGTAGAGGTCCACCTACTGTACCGAACGTGGGTCACAGGAGCGGCTTGGTGAAGGTCCACGTGGTGCCCCGCACACCTTCCGTTGGAGCGGGTCGCGGCGTCATCTTTTCGCAGGCTCATGCCGACGCGCGAGCCATTGAGGCACAGCGTTTTTTTTTTTGTGCTTTAGCGGTGCGGTGGTCATGTGTACTCGTCTATCAAGGTTCACGCATAATTATGCCCTGTCCGCTGTCCTAGAGTTGGGTACATTCCTCAGTATTGTGTGTACTGCAGGCTTCGCTGTCCTAGAGCTGGGTACATTCCTCAGTACCGTGTGTACTGCAGGCTGGTTTTCCGCGCTGGTGGGAGCACATAGACACCAGCAAGCGATGATCGCTAGAGCAACGGACTAGCGACGTTATGGGACGGAAATGAGAGGTGGGCAGCTATATAAGTTTGACGTGGCGCTCAAGTTTGGACGAGTTTTCCCAGACTATGGAAAGACTTTTAGTCGTTAAGACAAAAATTACTATCCATCACTTGAATTAATCGCGTCATGGCCGCCTCCCATGCAGCCAAATTCTACCCATCGTTTTGGTCGTGTCACCTGTCCTGACGCTGAATTGTTTCATACACGATTTATTTGTCTTTTACTATTGTGTAAAGTAGTTCCGCCTTGTTTCGTCGCACCCGCGTCATTGCCTCTCACCGACAGGCGAACATTTACAGGCCACTGGTCAGGTGTGATGTGGTGCGAGTTATCAACAACTGCGCTGTGGTATATATATATATATATATATATATATATATATATATATATATATATATATATATATGTTTGTATATATTACCTTGGAACATGCTTCTCAGGTCTGCAATGGGCCATTAACAATTACACTGCCCTCCCAGTTCCTCGGCCAGCCTCTTCAGTGTCACTGTCGACAGGCTAGGCAGGCGTTTGCTGCCCGTAAATTTTAGAGCGCTTCGATTTCACATCCACCCTCTGATATCGTTAGCGGCATATGACGGCGGCAGAGGAAGGTCTATAGTTTGGCGACCGAAGACCTTAACAGACATAATAGGCCATCATATAAATGTATCATTGAAAGTGACGGCATGTTTGACATTGACTTGCTTTTCAGATAATGACACAATTATCCAAATTCATAGTCTCTCACCTTCTGAAAAACTGCGAAGGAGGGGCCTCGTGTTATTTTGTAACGTTTCATCGGTCACGTAACCGTTGTGATTTTTTCCTTCAGTTCTCCACGTGCACCCAATTACTGGAATGGGGCGTTCCATTCTTCGAATTGATGGCTGATATCACCAGCAGCTGCTTCTTTTTTTACTCGCCTTTTTCCGTTAGTGGATCGGTTCTAAAACCCGCCATCAGTTCATTTTTCTGCACTGCTCGATCATGCGATATTTTGTGATGATTTTGTTAGTGTTGTGATACGGCTGATACCGACATTGATAATCAGTGAAGCTGGGGAGCAGGCCCTCTTTTGAGCTCTTTTGAGACATGTTTCATTGAGAATGACAGTCTGACAACTACAATGGGCAAATTTTCCACTGGGTTCAGTTTCTATGGTTTCAATAGCAACAGGTTTCGCTGAAATTTGTTCGAATTTCATGACACCTCTCTCGGAGAGGCCTCTCTCTTTCAAGACGCTGACGCCTCTCTCCTCCCCAGATTGCTCACTGCCCTCGTCCGAAACTGGAGCGGATCTACAATGAGGGCAAGCACGCGGAGGCGGACGAGTCGCTCGGCCTCGTCTTCCTGACGCGCCTCGAGCTCTTCTCGGACTCGTGCGTGATCCGCGTGCCCGAGCTGGACGAGGTCGACGCCGAGTGCCCCGGGGGGTGTGGCGCGGGAGGCGGCTGTGGCGCCGGCGGCCAGCAGACGTGAACTGCACGGGGCCTGAACGCGACGACGGCGCCGCAGTGCACCACTGTGAGGAAGAGCAGGCGGGTGAGGCGGCGGCGCATGCCGAGGAGCCCAAGGCGCCTGCGGCCGACCGGGCCGCCGGCGAGAGGTAAGGAGGCACCGAAGAAGAGGCGAAGGAATAAGAAGGACAGAAGGCGGCGGCGGCTGCGGCGAGGAGCGAGGCGGCACAGCCTGCGGGGACGGGCGAGGCGGGCGGGCCGCGGCTGCGGTCGGAGTCGCTCGCCAACAACGTCAGCTCGCAGCTGGTCGCGTCAGACGCGGCGCTCGCCGACGCGACGTCATCGTCGGCCGGACGCTGTGCTGCCGTCTGCCGAGCCGGGGGAACCCCGCGTCGGCGGCCGACGCCGGAGACACCCAGGAGTCGCTGGAGGCGGCGCTGGCGCGCGTGGAGCTGGGCTCGGCAGCGGCGGAGACGGACGAGATCGTGGTGGTGCAGCAGAACGGGGTGGTGCTGCTGAAGACCGGCGAGCAGGTGACTGAGACAGTGATGCCGACGGCCGGCCGCTCAGCGGCCAGATTGAAACGCTTGCTGAGGTGGTCAACAACCCCGAGGTCAACGCTCCCGAAGGCGCCGACGCGGCGACGGCGGAAAAGAGCGTGGAAGAAGCGGAGCGCGAGAGGAAGGCGAAGCTGTGGGAGGAGATGACGCCGGCCTGCCGTGGAAGTCTGATGCTGCTGAAGCAGGTGCAGCTGAAGGGTTTCGTGTTCCGGTTTTGAGTGTTGCCGAGAGCACGGTGTTGGTGTGTACAACTGCCAGGGAGTCGGAGCTTGGCCGATATTACCCAGATATTACACCCGCGGGACGCTCTCGAGCCGTCCGTGTTACAGTACAATGCACGTTTACGTGTGCTGTTGTGTGTATACATGTGTGTGTGTGTGTGTGTGTGTGTGTGTTGTGTGTGTGTGTGTGTGTGTGTGTGTGTGTGTGTGTGTGTGTGTGTGTGTGTGTGTGTGTGTGTGTGTGTGTGTGTGTGTGTGTGTGTGTGTGCGTGTGTCCTCCACAGCCTTGTGGGGCTCGTCCGTATAATAAACGATGCCAACGACAACGCGGCCGGAGCTGACTGGTAGGGACGCTGCTGCTCATGTTAAGCCTGGAGCTGTGCCTCGTTCAGGTACGGCAATAACTGTCGGAAACGTCCCTCCACGACACACGTGGCTGGTTTTGCTGCCGGCTTGGACATCTGTGGGACCAGGACAGCGACAGCTGAGTTTTCGCGTGAATAGGTGGGACGCAGGAGCGCTGTTTCTGGCTCGTGTATTGGAGCAGAAAGCGCAGTACCACATGTGCGAAGACCGCCACTGGTGTATCGCCTGTAGCTACACGACACGCTAGCTGGCAGTCCTTTATTTATTTGCCGGCATATGAGATAACGTGGGGTTAGGTTGTTCGGTACAATATGCACGGATATTTTTGACGGCCCAGATGCGGTGCGGTGTTACGGCCTGAGCAGCGCAAGTCACGGCTTTTTGGATAGAGCTCGTGAAACCGATTCCTTAGGTCAACAGCCGCAGCTCCATCGCTTCGGCAAAGAAGCTGGAGCTGCACTCGTGGTTAGCCTGATCCAATCATATTGCGGGCCTGTAGGGCTGTCTGAGGCGTTCACGCGAACCACCGGGGATAATGGCACTGCTGCCTGCCTATGTTGACTGCCTATGCTGACGCATGTCTGGCTTCCGCATCACTCCTGAGAAGTCCGGAAGTGCACGGAAGTTGTCACAAACAGCTCCTGTGCTGAAAGCCGCTTTGCGAGCGTGACGATGGCACCAACAGTGACGTCGCTGCAGCATGACTGTGGTAACGGCAGTGACGTCGCTGCAACCTAACGGTGGCAACGGCAGTGACGTCGCTGCAGCCTAACAATGGCAACGACAATAACATCACTGCAACCTAACGGTGGCAACGACAGTGACATCACTGCAGCGTAACGGTGGCAACGGCAGTGACGTCGCTGCAGCGTGACGGTGGCAACGGCAATGACGTCACTGCAACCTGACGGTGGCAACAGCAATGACGTCACTGCAACCTAACGGTGGCAACGGCAGTGACGTCGCTACAGCGTGACAGTGGCAACGGCAGTGACGTCGCTGCAGCGTGACATTGGCAACGGTAGTGACGTCACTGCAGCATGACAGTGGCAACAACAGTGACGTCGCTGCAGCGTGACGGTGGCAACGACAGTGACGTCGCTGCAGCCTAACGGTGGCAACGACAGTGACGTCGCTGCAGCGTGACAGTGGCAACGGCAGTGACGTCACTGCAGCACGACAGTGGCAATGACAGTGATGTCGTTGCAGCGTGTCAGCGGCAGACAAGATATCAATCTAGCTCACCCTGCCTTGGATGGCTTGGGGAGACACTCGCGGGGGACTAAGGAGACCGCTGAAGCGCACGCTGCGTGGCGTGCTCGGAGGAAGGAAACGATTTGATCCGGTTGCCGTGCTGGCAAATCGATGCAGAGGCGTCCATCGTCAGCATAGCGTGATATTCGGAATTCGGTAGATCGCAGTGCCGTCATTACCACTGGGATACTCTCCGACTATGCAGCGGTTCATCGCGAGATCGATCTTAGCTGCGCGCACCTGGCGAGCAATCCCTGGCCATTCCACTCGGCGCTCCACCCTGTCAGCTCCCAGCGCCACCCGCGAGTCCACTTGGCGGCGGCGGGCCGCCGTAGTCCCGACCTCCCCTCCCCCGCCCCCTCCCCGCTGCCCCTGCCCGCCCGCCGACCGCGCCGGCTCTAGCCAGGCGGGGCGCTGGAGCGGTACATCCCAGGACCCGGGGCGGGGCCGCCCGTCGTGGCTATTGATCACCGGTGCCCACTGCCTCCCCCCCCCCCCTCCTTCGCTCCGGGGTTCGTGACAATCGCAGTGTGTTGACGCTCACGGTAGGCTCGCTTTAGGAACGGGGTGGCGTGCGACACCGTCGCACGGTGTGGGTGGTGACGGGCTTACGTTACTGGCAGGAAGGAATTATTTCCTGGTAACAGCCAGCTCACTCACCGCCTGTATTGGCATAGCAATGGTTCTATGCACTCATAACTGTAAAAATAAAACTGGAGGTACCCGATTAAGCACCGGGTGGAATTGCATGCCAGCCATGTAAAAGTGTCTGGCAGAGGCGTGGCCGAAGGGGGGTCGGGCGATGGTCATGGCTCCGGTAAACCAAGAGGTTTACTGTAGATACTAGGCGATTTCGCTGGAGTTCGGTCCAGGCTAGTAGAGTTCGCAGAGAATTTCACAGTTGGCCTTCCCTGAGGAAAATTACGGTTGCGTGCACAGTGCAAACCCAGTTGAAAACGAAATTCCAAAACCCTCCCACGAAACCAAAACATAAAGCATCCAATAAGAACGTTCGGACCAAATATAAAAGCGAAAGGGGGAGGAAAGTGCGCATAATCGAGTTGCACCCGAGTTCTACCCGTTTCACCCAGGCTGGTGTATCACGCCTCCCAGCATCCAGCTACGCCGTGTTTGCAAAGCCGTGTTCTGTGACGTGCTCCAGTGGCGACTCAGCGCTGTTACCAGCCACCCATATATACATAATATAATATATATATATATATATATATATATATATATATATGTCTGATGTCGTGGTTTAGGCCAGTGTGCCCTCTGATGTATCGAATTTTGCCTTTTCCAGCGCAAGAATTCAATGCCCGGAAAGCTCCGGAAAGAAATCTCGTAGCTTTTCTTGCTTATAGCACGTTTGGACTACTGTATCCAAAAGTGCATCCTACCATTCACGCCTGGTTGTAACGACCGCACGTGCACTTTTCACCTTCTAAACTATGAATGCACCCCCCACCAGGAAGTCCTCTTAATCCCCGCATCGAGCTGGTGGCACGTCCGTTCCCGCCCAGGCGCGTCTGACCGCACGTCACCAGTTGCGCCAGCGTGGTCGCGCCGGCCCGGTTCACCGGCGTCCCGGCACCTTACATCGTCCGACGGACCGACGGCCGCGAGCGCGCCGCTCCGCCGCCGCGAGATCTGCTCACGAGGGGAGGGCCGCGGCGCCGCATCGATTTTCAGTGGGGCGCCAGCGGTGGCCCCCGCCTCCACGCTGGGGACAAAGGGAGCCGGCGAGGGGGGCCGCCGTGGCGGGGGGGGGGGGAGGGGATCGCAACAGACCATCCAGCGGGCGGAGGCAGGCAGGCAGCTCCGACCGCGCAGGGCGCGGTGGGGAGGATCGAGAGTGCCGGAGGGACGCGGCTCCGGGTCATGGTTCCTGGCTGTATGGCGTGCGCTGGAGGACGCGGCTCCGTGTCGTGGGTTCCTGGCTGTTTGGCGAGCGCTGGAGGACGTGGCTCCGGGTCGTGGTTCCTGACTGTTTGGCGAGCGCTGGGGGACGCGACTCCGTGTCGTGGTTCCTGGCTGTTTGGCGAGCGCTGGAGGACGCGACTCCGTGTCGTGGTTCCTGGCTGTTTGGCGAGCGCTGGAGGACGTGGCTCCGGGTCGTGGTTCCTGGCTGTTTGCCGGGCAGCCTCGTATCACCTCGGCCAGTGCAAACACCGCCAGCTGAGCCAGATTTAGGGATTACGAAGGGGAGGGGAGCAGGCTTGATGCTGAGTCGGGCTACTGCATGTACTCCATTAGCAAGCCCTTGGGTGGGGCTGAGGGGTCACTGTGATCGCAATCTTTACATGGTTGTATATTATTGAGTAGCGGATCTTGTAGTATAAAGTAATTTGATGGATCTTGAAGGGTCACTGACCTACGACATATCAAGGTCAGGCCGTTATTGTCAGCGAAGGCCATTTCCAGTCAACCCTTCAATCTGGTGCGACAACGTAGTGTTCAACTGACCCAAATGAACACTACGTTCTCACATCAGACTAAAGAATCGACCGACGGCGTCGCATTAGACACAAATCAATTGACTCAGGGACAGGCATGAAAACCAGACCAAGGCCAAAGCCAACCTACTGTTTTACCCCAGAGCTTGCTTTATGGAGTCGTTTCTGATGTACAGTTAAAATTGATTAATAAGAAGGTAGGTTTTTGGTAACCTTGATCTTGTAGAGGTAAAAAAGGGAACAGAAAAGGTATTTAGGTTCAAGACTGTTGCATGAGATCTAGGGGCACTTTGGACACCAATACCGACCTTCACCTTATTTGACACTATTTCATGGGTGTAGGAACGGGGGGCCAGGGGGCCATGCCCCCCCCCCCCCACTGTTCAAGGTAAGGGGCCAGCAATGTTAGCTGCCCCCCCCCCCCCCACCCCCACTTTTTAGATTAAGGTCGCATTTGGCTTACTTTTTGCACTCCATTAAACATGTATGCCGATTTACCTAGTTTACCAGCCATCTCCCGTAGATGCATCATCTTTTTCGTTTGCTTGTTGATCTATCGCTTAGTGTTACAGCCGCGAGGCCGACGCCGCGTGGCCTAGAGACTGCAACGCCCGGCGTCGAAGCTGTTATTGCTGACTTGCGAGCACGCATGTTTGACACCATATGACATAGTTTTGTTATCAGTGATCAGCTCTGACAGGATCTGGAGCATTTCAATACGAACATGGGTTAGCCATGTTAATACAAATTAGAAACCCCATTTCATCTACAATCTACAGTCAGGGACAACTCAATAGTTCTGAAGAACACAGATAAACATGGAAATGGAGTTTATGTGACAACCATCGGACTATCTGCGGTGATCAGGCATGCTTTTGCGTCAATGAGAGTTTCTGTGCTGATCCGGGCTAAGTGTGCGAG